ATTTGCATGACATTCTTTTAATGGCTGCGGGTTTTTCTGTTGTCCAGCTGTGCTGAAACTGAATCACCCGGTCCCGTACTGATGAACATTGAGGCTGTTCCCAGTGTTTTGCTGTGAACAATGAACATCTTTGTATATACATCTCAGGGCCCCGAGATAGTATTTCTGGAGGACAGAAATACTAGAAACAGGCCTGCTGTGTGCAAGGGTGGGCAAGTCCCTACCTTATCTAGATGTTAACATCAAACCTTGGACAGGTGATGTCCTCATGCAGGGTCTTCACGTCAGTGGCACAGAGAGTAGGTGGTGGGTGGATTAGGGCCCGCCAGGCATTGCCTCCCACCCCCAGGAACACACATGCCCACGTGGACGCACCAAGTCCACCGGCCTCTGAACAGGTGCAGAGTCAGGTGGACTCACAGCCCGAGGTTCTCAGGCAATGAGGAAATTCATTCCCCCGCAGCCTCTCCAGGTCCCCTCCATGGTGGGCCCGCTCCCTCTTATCTTTCTGAACCTTACCTTGAGATCTGTGTGGGGAAAAAATGTAAACCATAGGTCACAGGCCGTGGTTATTCATTCATTCATTCATTCCCAGCGCTCATTCTGGGTTAACTTCTCCCACCCCGTGGTTCTGTGTGTCTTCATCCGGCTTCTGCACTTCCTCCTCACAGCTCTCCTACAAAGCAGGTTGGCAGGGAGCATGGTACGTGGAAAGCATGGCACCTTGACCCAAACTAGTCGGGCCTCCTCTGGATGCCTGTTGATCCTTGGGCTTCCTTTTTCCTTGTCCCCTTATCCTGCTGGACAAAAAGTCGCGAGGAGTCTGTCTCGCTCACCAGACTAGCCAGCACTTCCCTGCCAGGATCCCGCCCCACTACTGGGAGACCTGCAGCTGTTTTGAAGGCCACCCTGTCTGTTCCCATGGTCTCCACCACAGCACCTTGCTCTTTTTCTTCGGAGCACCTCCCACCATCATTGATTGGCTGCCTCCTGCATGCCCCACACTGGGATCGAACCCGCAACCTGGGCATGTGCCCCGGCTGGGAATTGAACTGTGATCTGGTTCATAGATCGATCGATGCTCAACCACTGAGCCACACGAGCCGGACCTGATTTGTTTGTTTACTGCTCTTCTTCCCAACTAGAATGCGAATTCCCCGAGGACAGGAGCCCTGTCTTGTTCACCCCCACCTCCTCTGGGCGCAGATGCTCAGTGCTGGTTGAATCCATGTTTGAATGTGAATGCTGCAGAGGTCTGGAAGGCTGAGTTTCAAGCTGACAACCGTGGCTACTTCTTAGAAGGGGCTGGGATTGAGGGAGTTGTCAAGCAGGAACTTTAGCCTTATTTTACTTTAATGATTTTATAAGAATGTATTCACTTCTCATTGATAGTTTAAAAGAAAAGCACAGCAGAAAGGGCCCAAAGCCCTTTGTCCTCATCCTGAAATGATGGCCTCACTTGGGCCCGTGACCCGACTTGTCCAGCTGCCTGCGGCTTCTGACCTCACCTGTAAACATAGTCTCCCCTCCCGCCAGGACCCGGATTTACAGTCTGCACAGCATTTTTCCATCCATTATCTCACCTGGTTACCCACAACGCTGGGACACAGGCAAAACAAAGATCATTATCCTGATTCTACAGGGGGGGAATGGGGTGTGTAGGGGTGAGTTGTCTGGCCTGTGGTCACACAGCTGTGGCCATGCAGGTTCTTGCTTCCTATCATGATGAGCTGACTCAAATACGAGTTTACAAAACCCACAAAGAAATGGCTAATGGGAGCCCAGAGGGCTCTGCCATGTAAGCCATAGGGCAATGGGGTCAAGGTCAGACCTGGAGCTGCCTTCAGGGACCTTAAGCTGGCGAGGGCAGGGTTTTAATGTGAGTCCTGGTGGACTCTGAAGGCCAAGGTGGGTGCTGGTATCAGGGTCCTGAGGCCAAGCCCCCCATGTAATGTGGGCACCTGGAACCCTCCTTTCCCGGAGTTGCTTGCCCAGAGAGGACAGGGCAGGTAGGAGGTGGCTGCACAGGTGGTGAAGGGCCAGGAGGGCTGGCCAGGCAGCCTGCCCATGGCAGCCCCTTCCTACATAGCCCGAGGGTCCACGCTCTGGGCCTAGGTGGCCTTCCAGCCTCAGACAGATCCAGGGTGTGAAACTGGCCCAGGTTGGCAAGTTGGGGTCCCCTGCCCTGGGTCATCATTGTACCCAGGGCTGGGACTCAGTGGACCTTTCAGGAGGGGGATTCCCTAAGCCCACCTCCCTGCTTGATAATTTATTCAAGGCTCAGGTGACAAGCTGGGTATGCAATGCTTTCGATCCATTTTACCAGGTACCAGGTATTAATAGCTAGCATTTATGCATGATGACTAAAGGGTCAGGCTCATCTTAATCCTCTCTGCCACCTTGTAAAGAAATTACCCCCCCCCCAAAAAAAAGAAATTATCCCCATTTTTAAGATATAGAAATTGAGGGATTCAGGGCAGCTCAAGATCACATGGCTGGGTGAGTGGGAAAAGCCAGGATTTGAGGCTGGATCAGTATGACTCCCAAATCCCTGTTCTTTCCACGCCCCACCCCACCCCCAGGGCTGAGGGGTGACAGAGATGACTAAGACCCTTGGGTGGGGTGGTGTAGCCACAGACCTATCCTCGCTAAGCAGTGTGCTGGTCAGGGTGACATCACGGCCATGGCCGGGCAGCCAGCCAGTGGAAGGCTGATTCATCTCGTGGAGGAGAGGCCTTGGGGAGGGGTCGCTTCCCAGGTCTTGGAGGGGGAGCAGGGGAATGGTTCCAGGCCAGACACCTAATGCCCTGCCAGACAAGGGCCTGCTTCTCCGCGGAGCCCAGCCCACCACCGCCCTCCTCAGGGCAGGAGAGGGGCCCGGTGGGGAGGGGGCGACCCGGAGCCTACACCAGGGTCAGAATTGTGCAGGGCGGGTGGCCAGGCTCCGTCCAGTCCCGGGAGGACACCTGGACTGGTGTAGGGGAGCATATGGAGCCTCCGCGCAGGGTGTTTCCGGGGGTGAGACAGGGTGGAGGCGGCCATCTGGGGGGCTCTGGAGGCTGCAGGGAACTGCTCCCTGGGAGAAGCCTCAGACCAGGTGCTCGGTGGTTTTAGACGTCAGCGAGGGGGATTGTAGGCGCTGAGGCCCAGGAGTGGGAGGACTCGGATGGAGGAAGGGGAGCGCTCCCGGTGGGCTGCGCGGTGGAGGGGGTGCGGTGGGGGAAGGGCTTGTCTGCGGTGGGTGAGGCCTGCAGGGCGCCCCTAGTGGGAGGGGTGTCTGTCCTGATCGCT